TTCATTTTCTCTTAATTATGTTGATACTGCCCTTTATATTCTTGGGCATATTTATAATAACTCCAAAATTCCTGGTATAATAATGCTATCATCTGTGTCATTTCTGTTTCTTTATTCTATCAGCTGATTTTTCTTTTGATTATGGGTCACGTTTTCCTGTTTTGCATGTCTAGTAATTTTTTATTAAATCCTGGACATTGTGAATACTGTTATTCAGTCTCTCCATTGTTGTCTTCCTTTAAGAAGTGTTGATTCCTTCCTTACCTCCCTTTTTGTCTCCTCCCCCTTCTCCCCTCCCCCCTTCTCTCCTTCCTTTCTAATAGTTAAGTTGCATGTATATCCATCCACTTGAGCCTTTGGGGGCTTGCTTAATTAATCTTTGTTAAAGTAGGCCTAAAGGAGCTTAATCTATGGCTATTTTAGCCCTGCTAGTAAGGCAGGACCCTTATGGGATTTCTCCACTCATGCTGATTAGAACTTAAGTGTCTCCTTGCCCTGTGTAAGCTCTGGGAATTGTTAACCTGACAGTTCCCTGAGAGTTTTTTTATCTGGCCTTGTGAAGTCTAGCCCTATACATTATCAGCTTAGTATTCAGCAACAGACTAAAGAAGGTGCCCTTGCAGATTGCTTAACTCTTTTTCTTCACAGTGTTCTCTTCTCTGACACTCTGTCCTGCAAATTCCAGACACCTCAAACTTCTTGAATTCAGATTTTTGTCCTCACAAATTTGGGTCCACTATACTCTGCCTGGGTTCTCCCTTCCTATACTGTGGTCTAGAGAGTGCATCTACATAGCAAGTTGAAGAAATTATAGGATTCCTTTGTGTGTAGTCTCCTTTTTTTTTTTTTAAGGGGTCATAATCCTGTTCTACCTACAATCCAGTATCTATCAACAGCAGTGTCTCCCTCTCTCCCTCTCTTTTGTCATTCAAATTGCGTTCGATTTTTTTTTTTGGTCAGTGAGCACTCCTTCTAGATGGCTTCTATTTCCTTTTGACATGTTTCTATATATTATTTTTTTTTTTTTTTTTTTTTGAGTTGGGAGTCTCACTCTGTCACCCAGACTGGAGTGCAGTGGCCGCTCCCGACCACCGCAGCCTCGACCTGCTGGGCTCCGGCGATCCTTCTGCCTCAGCCTTCCAAGTAGCCGGAATTACAGGCGCGCACTACCATGCCCAGCTGATTTTTTTGATTTGTTGTAGAGATGAGGTCTCGCTGCCCAGGCGGGTCTCGAACCCGCGGGATCAGGCAATCCATTCACCTCAGCCTCCCAAAGGTGCAGGATTACAGGCTGAGCCACCGAGCCCGCCTGTTTCTATACTTTTTAAAGCATTTATATACTTTCTGGTATACTTAGATGTTCCAAAGCTCATCTTATACTTTCCTCGCCCTAGACCTAAAATCAGAATTTTCTCCAAGATAGAATGATTTTTTAGAAAGAATGATATTTAGAGACCAGATGTGACCATTCAGTACACTAACTGCTACTGGTGTGTCATTGCTTCTAATTTCCTAGTGGGGCTGTTGGACACTTTAATTTTTGAGTTAAGTATAACAGGTTCTATGAAGATCTGAAAGAGCTGCAGCTTCTTGGACCCTATGAGCTAAAACTAAATAAACTTTAGCTCCTTTCTAGGACAAAACCTCACATTGAGGAAACTGCAAAACTGGGACAATAACAGTAAATTAAAAAGAAAATCCAAGTAAAAGTGGCAGAGGGCAGTAAAAAAGACGTATCTTAGAAAGTACAAGTACATATTTTCATTACCTTGTTTTAACAAAGGAAGAGGAAGCTCCAGAGCTAGGAAACTAAGAACGTTATCCTGAGATAAAAGGATAACCTCATGCAAGTAAGATACCAAGTTACTCAAAAGGGGATAAAAATTAGACTATTATCAAACTTTTTAAGAGCAATGCTTTATGCCAGAATACAGTAAGAAAATTGACTAACATATTTAAGATAGTCAAGGAAACAAAATATGAGCCAAAAATTGCATATCCATCCAAACATCAACATGTAAAGGCCACAAACTGCTAGGAGGATCCTGTGAGCCTTTCCTGGGAAATCTAGTAGAGAACAAGCTTTAGACAACCATAATTACTGGGGGAAAAAAACAAAACTACATCAGGACTGGTGGTTAGATTAAACATGAATTTACCCACAGAATAGACAGTAAATAGTAATTATAAAGGGGAGAGTACAATAATGTGACAGTAGTTTACGTTGTCAGTATAGATACAGCTTAACTTTAAAAAAGAAAAGCGTATGAATGAGGAAAGCTTATGCAGAGTAGAATAAGCTTACTGACTGATTACCTTATATATGTTTGTAGTAAAAAGATATTACTTCCAGTCAGATGATGGGGAAAAGGGAAGGAAGGACAAAGAAGAGATGACTTGATAATTTTAACATTAATCATAGGAGAAACAATAGCAAAAGGGGGGAAAGGGGAACAAAGAGCATAAAGGTAGCCATTCGAATAAAGACAAACATTTCTAAAAGGAGAGAAGTCAAATAAAACAGGCTACACAGTGAAAAGCTTTTTATGTAAAGACTTACATATGGTAAGACAGGAAAGTAAGACAGAACTGAGGCTAAGCAGATTGATCACAACAATAAATATAAGGAATGTCTGTAAAACAGAGATTCAGAAACTTTAAAAATAAAAAGATGGACAAAGATATGACAGAAAAAATACAAATCAGAAAAAAGGCAGGCCGGGCGCGGTAGCTCAAGCCTGTAATTCCAGCACTCTGGTAGGCCACGGTGAGAGGATTGCCTGAGCGCACGGGTTTGGGAAAAGCCTTGGCAACCTGGTGAGAACTCATCTCTACAATACATGGAAAAATTAGCTGGGCGTGGTAGCGTGCACCTATAGTTCCAACTACAACTACTTAGAAGGCTGAGGCAGAAGGATCTCCTGAGCCCAGCAGGTCAACACTGGGGTGGCCAAGAGTATGCCACTGCACTCTAGCCTCCTGGGCGACAGAGTGAGACTCCAACTCAAAAAAAAGGCAGGAGTTGCAATCCTGAAATCTGACATGGGAGACTTGCAGGAGGAGGAAATAATAGATAAGGAGTCCGATTTTAAAAGAAAAGATATTTTATACAATGCTAAAGAGCCTGAACTTTATCTTGCAGTCAATGGGAGTCTTTGAAGGCCAAACGAGAGATGGGTAAGAACCAGACGTGTACTGTAAAGGCGGACTGACTTGAGACATGAGAGCAGGGGATCCAGTCAGAATGGGTGAAAAGACAACCCTGCAGAAAGCCTGCTCTCAGTCAAGTACTTAACAGTCACATTCTCCTTTTAATTCTAATAACAACCATATAAGGCCAGTCTTGTTACTCTCATTTTACATCTGGAGATTCTGAGGCTCAGGGACTTCATGAAGTAGCTTGCCCAAATAAAGCAGCTCGTAAGATGTTAGTGTCACGATTCTGAACTCAATTTTAGCTAGGTGGAGGCTACAACATAATGTTATTTGTTTTCATTGTTTGTTAGTTTAAAGGAAAGAGAAGAAAAATGATCCAAGTAATACAGAGGGAGAGGTATTTAAAAAGCATAACGAGGGAGGCTTGTTGATAGATTGAACGTTGTAAAACATTAAACATCAAGAAAAAGAAATCAAGAATTCTACCTCAGCCTTCCAAGTAGCCGGAACTATGGGTGTGCGCTACCTCGCCTAGTTAATTTTTCCATATCTTGTAGAGATGAGGGCTTACCAAGTTGCCCAGGCAGTTCTCGAACCCATGGGCTCAGGCAATCCTTTCTCCTCGGCCTTCCAAAGTGCTGGGATTACTTGAACCACTGCGCCTGGCCTGCCTTTTTTCTAATTTGTATTTTTCTGTCATATCTTTTTCCTTTTTTTATTTTTAAAGTTTCTGAATCTCTTTGTTTTACAGACATTCCTTATATTTATTGATATGATCAATATGCTTTGCCTCAGTTCTGTCTTGCTTCCCTATTTTACCTTACCTATTTCATTAAGAATGCTAGTACCAAAAAAAAAAAAAAAAAAGAATGCTAGTACCCACAAGGAGTTACAAATATTTTGTAAAGGAAAACAAAGCTTTATATTGCTTTTACTTTTTCCCTAAACCTGCACTAACTAAAGTAAAAATTTAAGCATACTGTATATGACTTCTTGTTATGTGCTTTTTTTTTTTTTTTTTTTAAAGAGGCAGGATTTCACTCTGTCACCCTGGCTAGAGCACAGTGGCACAATCATAGCTCACTGCAGCCCCGAACTCCTGGGCTCAAGCGATCCTTTCACCTCAGCCTCTCCCAAGTAGCTAGGACTACAGGCAAGCATACTGTGCTGGCCAATTAGTTTTAATTTTTAAATTATTTTTAGACACAGGATCTCATTATGATGTGCAGGCTGGTCTCAAATTCTTGGCCTCAAGTGATTCTCCCATCTCAACCTTGCAAAAATGCTAAGACTACAGGCGTGAGCCACCCTACTTGGCCATGTGTTTTTTAAAAAGCACCATTAGTACAATAGCCAGGTTCTCTGAAAACTATTAGGACTGGGATAGATCCACCAACATCTAGATAAAAATTCAAAATGAATTTCCAGAAAGGAGGTAAAGCATGTTTCTTCTTTTTTACTTTTGTTTTTCACTGGGGAAGGGGCAAATTTTAAAACTAGTAATGTTCTAATAAAATACATGTTCTTGATGTGCAGGGCATTGTAAGCTATGTCTTCTTACTGCACAGGTTTCAGAAATTGATTTATAGGAATAAAATCTAATTAACAACATGTAAATATATGTTCTTAAATTCTATTCATCACTGTATTTGACAATATAGAATCTTCCAACTTTTCTACTTTTACAAACGTTCTGAAATTTTTCTCTTTATTCAATTTTTACTGCATTCTTGTCCTCAACTTAGTTTTCACAATTTCATGAGACACTCTACTGAATTCTACATGTTTAATTAGTTAAGTAAGGGTATTTCTGCCTCATTTCTTTTATTGCATCACACACTTACATGGAATGGTTCTCAAGTAGAGATTATCTCGGATCACTTGCTGCAGTTTGTGGTCAACTGATCCTTTTTGAAACTGAAGACTCAGGTAATGTCGCAAATCCTTATTAATGACTTTGCCTATAACAACAACAAAAAAAAACAGAAAATAAAACATATAATTGTTAGATGTCCAGTTAAATACAGAAGCTAGTGACTGAATATTCTTAAGCCATATAACTATAAATAGGAAAAAGTAATCAGAAATATTTTCCTAAAAAGAAGATAACTAACATCAAATTATTATAGGTACTATATTAAAATACATACCTGCAATATAACGTTGGTATAATTTTGCATGGGAGAATAGGGTAAAGGTACAAGTCAGAGAATGTAAAAAAATTCAAGGTAATTTCACTTAGTCCCAGGGCTTTAAATAACATCTATATAATGATGACTTCTAGATTCATATCTTATCTCCATCCCTGACTTATCTCTACCAAGTTCCAAACTCATCAAGTTCATCCATATACTTGTACATTGCAGATGTACTTAGAAATCAAATAAGCACCTCAAATTTCAGATAGCCAAAACATAACTCTTAATTCTCCCCTCCCCCACTGTTCTCCTCCCCCGTTTCCCCTGTACTATCAACCTATAGAACAATCCCCAAATCTAGGAGTCATCTTTGATTTCCCCTTTTCACTTCTATCCCCTAGATCCAATTCATTAACAATTTTTGTACGTTCTGCCTTCAAAACATATTCCACTTTTCTCCATTTAGGCCATCAGCCTAACTAAGCCACCAGCACTTCTCATCTGAAATTCTATACCAGCCTCCTCACGGGCATCCATTACTGCCTCCTTCCTGTCCCACCACTCACACACAGCCAGTGTGAGATTTAAAACATAAACCCGATAATTATTTATCTGCTTAGGACTCCTTCCCCCCCCCAATAACGTCTTGTTGTACTTGGAATAAAATAAAAACTGTCCAGGGCAGACAGAGAAGGCCCTACATGTTCTGGTTTCTGGCCATCTCTAACTCTAACTCGTTCACTCTTCCCCCTCTCAAACTATGCTCCATTGATGCTTGGCCATCTTTCTGATTGTGGAAAAGGCCAAACTGGCCCTACCTCAGGGTCTTCTGTCTATCGTGATATTGAACAAGCATTTTCTGTCCACTTGCTTGACTCTTAGATACAATGTGAATAAATAAGAGAGTCAAAGAACTTCTGTTACTTATGGGGCAATGGGGGATAAACAGAAGAATATTAGGGCTCTCAAAGAAATATTAAGCAGAAATACAGGGGATTCCAGAAATCTGATAGCAGTGAATTTGCAGTAAGGGTTAAAGTTCAAATGAAAATCAAAGTAGTCCAAACACTGTTCAGTAGACAAGACTCCCGGTATTTAAAAAAGATGGATTATCTTATTGAGTAAGAAATGACTTATTAACAAAATGGATTATCTTATTGAGTAAGAAATGACTAGCTGATTAAAGTATACTTTTTGTTTTATTTGGAGCAACATACTTATAAGGTTAGATAGACCAAATACTACAAATCAAGTCATTCTTTTAACTACTGTTCCACAATATTACATTTCTAATTCCCTCTTTTGCTCTTTTCTCACACGTATAAATAAACAAAACCTATGTAAAAGGGTGTTTAACATAAGCAGAAAATCAGAGTGTCTCTTAAGTTCTGAGAGAACATTCAGATTCTCCACTAACAAACACAAACCAAAAAAAGTCCTTATTTTGCCTTGCCAAAAATAGGTGCCAAGGGAAGGAGGGGATGAAAAATGACAAAAGAAAAAAAACTGAAAGATATTTATGGGAAAGAATGTGGAAGAACCACTGGTCCCAGAAGTTGTTTTTGTCAGGCATCTAGGAGTCCTGCTAACCCAAGTCTAATTTAGAAAAAATCATATTATTTCATTTGTTATTTATGATACTTGCCCATTGCTAGACAGAAGAAAAACCTAAGTTATAATCAATACTGTATAGTCATTGCTTATTGAACAAAAATATACCCAATAATAGTTCATATAGTATTTTAAAAATTAGGGAGATGTCTCAAATGCTTTGTAAATATTATATGAAAGTTTTGGTGGATTGCCAAATAGTTGCTTAACGGTGTTTTGTTCTATCTGGGGAAGTTTGGTTAGGGTTTTTGAATGGACAGAGAATGCAACATTGTTTTTTTCCAACTTAAAAACAAAATGTAGGCTCCAGTATATATTTTAAAAAAGCTATGTAACACATTTTCAGGAAAATACTCAATTTGGATGAAAATAATAATGTATAATTTAAAAAGTATGAATCAATGCTTTTTTAAAATCTGAAGTTTTATTATAAGATATAGTATAACTTACAGAGATAACTATAAAATGCTAAAAATTCAGACTAGATTTCAATCTATAAAAATAACAGCCATTAAATGTGATATAAAGGACAAAACCACAATAAAATAAATCACAAATTACAGCATAATGGGGCTCTTAAGGGAAAATGGTTAAAACAACACAATTATTGTTTTAAGGCCTACAAGATCTTAAGACTGAGAGTTAAGGCAGAAAAGGCTAGACTTAAAGAATAACACCTAAAATTACTGGGGGTGGAGCTGCTCTCTGTTTTCACCCTCTACCTCTAATGGGAATCTGGGTGTAACACTGAGATGAACAGTTGCAAAGGGAAGAGGGACAATTTTTTAAGTGTGATATTTTATTTAAGATGTGCAACTATTCAAAAAAGTCATTATACTTCTTGAGGCTAGAGACAAAATATTATAAGCATCAATGAAATATCAATTAGATATTTCAATAAGTATGGGTTGGCATTCTTTAAGATTAACAATTAATAAAATATGTCGGATGAAGCAGTCATCAGGGGACTTCTGTGTCTCAGGAAACCAAAAAACTTTCCTAAGGGGACAGAATATTATGGTTCCCTCTTTGATATACTTCCAGGAAATTTGTAATATAAAAAGTAAAAATATCCTAAATAGGCAGCTGACTGTGGGATTACCAGAAGGCTAAGAAAAACATGAACTCAAACAGACAGTGCTCAGTCTATCTAGATTATCAAGTGGTATATGAAGTTCTGTCTTTTGTTCAGGGATAGTTTTCAGAAACTACATTTTCAAGGGTATGAAAAACATACCCTAATTGAACTAATGTAGTTGTTATTAAATAAATGATTTCTTACAATGTTAGCATTCTTTATATATTATAAGATATAGTATAACTTTCCTGTAAAGCGCTAATAGTATTCCTTGACTTCTACACAATTTATAAGTCAAGGTGATTTATGACACTTAAAAATACATGTATGTATCTTACAAATACAGCTTGGGTGGGAAAAAAGTCTATAACTGAAATCTCAATCATACGAAAAAAATCCAGGCACTCAAGTTTCAACATACAAATCCTTAGTCAAAGGAACTCACAATTACAGATTATACTTTCTGAATATATGCAAATTACCACCAGTTCTCTTAGAGGAATCAGTTGTAACATAACTGACTATTACTTAGATAAAACCTGGGCATGCTGGCATGGGTGTGCCCATGTAAGCAGCTGAAATCTGACTACCAACATTTCAGTATCTTTTCCACAAAAATAGTTGAGGAAACTTCTTCAATCACTTGGCTAAAGTCAAGATAAAAAGTGTCTTTATGGGCCGGGTGCAGTGGCTCAAGCCTGTAATCCCAGCACTTTGGGAGGCCAAGGGGAGAGGATTACCTGAGTCCGCGGGTTTGAGACCAGTCTGGGCAACAAGGTGAGACCTCATCTCTACAATAAATTTTGAAAAATTAGCCAGGCTTGCCTGAGCCCATGGGTTCGAGACTCGCCTGGGCAGCAAGACCTCATCTCTACAATAAATCAAAATATTAGCCAGGCATGGTAGCTCGCGCCTGTAGTTCCAGCTACTTGGAAGGCTGAGGCGGAAGGATCGCCGGAGCCCAGCAGGTCAAGGCTGCAGTGGCCAGGAGCGGCCACTGCACTCCAGTCTGGGCGACAGAGTGAGACTCCAATTAAAAAAAAAAAAAAAAGTGTCTTTACTAGCCAGATGTTGTAGTTCATGCTTGTAATCCCAGCACTTTGGGAGGCAGAGATGAGAGGATTGTCTGAGCCCAGGGGTTTGAGACCAGCCTGGGCAACTTGGTGAGACCTCCTCTCTACAATAAAATAAAAAAATCAGCTGGACATGGTGGCATGCACCTGTAGTTCTGGCTACTTGCGAGGCTAAGGCTGAAGGATCTCTTGAGCCCAGCAGGTCCAGTATGTGGTAGCTGTGACTGTGTCACTGTACTTCAGCTGGGCAACAGAGTGAGACTCTGACTCAAGAAAAAAAATTACTATTCTCTAATACAGTAGCAATATTTTACAATTATAAAATTAAAAAAAAATAAGGTCGTTTGGCATGTCTTGTTCTTAAAAATTCACATTGGTTTATGGTGATCATCCCATTCTCTTCTAAACATAGTATTTCACTTTTTCACAATCTCTTCAAGTTCTGCCATAATTTAAGTTAGAGAACCGGACTTGAGTTTTCATAATATACTTTACTCCTTTTTGGAAAGTGGGCATTTGTCTCTCTCTAGTTTCCTGGTATTTCCCACATTCTCGGTGATTCTGCAGAAAATACCGACAATAACCCTGAGATCATATGTTAGTCCCATCAACTTCTGCGAGACAACTCATATGAATCCCAAAATCCTAAACTCATTTCAAATGAATGACACTCTTACTATCTTCTTATCTTTTCTTTGGCTTAATTTTCCCTGTTTCAGGTTGTTTCTTTTTACTTCCTACTGTTAGAGAGGTAATTCTGCAATTTAAAGATTATAGAAGCAAAGTTAGAATGACATAAGCCTGATTTCTGCCTGTAAACAGCTCACATTAAGCTTATCTTCCTCAGATGGTGAGCTTGTCTCTTTCCTCTTGATATTCTTGCTCCAAACACAACCTTAAAAGCTCTTTGTGTTCTCTTAAGCATCTTACTTCTTTTGAGCTTTGGTCTTTGAAAATTCTTAGATATTTATTTTTTTAAAAGTTTCCTTAGCACTGAATAAATGATTATGTGCTCCATTCATCTATAAATCATACACATCCTTTAGGAAACCTGAGCTGCTCA